CGTTCAATGTGTAGAACTCGTCGAGTACTATATGCCTGTAAAAAATCACGTTGATTGGATATCGATAGCTATATGAACAAAATAGTTTTTTATCAACCATTAATTGTTTCACCGACCATTTTTCTTTTATACAAAACTGATTTGATCACATAGCTATTGATATCCGATCAACGTGATTTTTTGTAGGCATGTAGTACTCGACGAGTTTTACACATTGAACGGTTCGGATTATCAAAACAGACCCAAAAAATGGGCCCCATAAGCTGAACTAAACGGGTCCAGTCTTGATATCAACTTGAGACAATCTGGACCCTTCTATTAATTAGGTTGCTCTAACATTGCCCACTAATATTACTGCATATTTAAAATAAAAAATGTTAATTAGAAAATTTCTTTGCGTTTAAAATAAATGAATCTGAGCATCACATTATATTAATTTTAAATCTATTTAAAATTTTAAATTTTGAACACTTATTTTTTCTGCATATATTATCTATAGCTTTTTAATTATGAATTTAAAAAAAAGTACGATTAAAACTGTAAAATAAATCAAATTCAACTCGTATCTGCCTTGTATGTAAACATATCAATTTAAACACATTCTAAAATTGATTAAATTTTCCAAAAAAAAAAAAAAAAAAACTTCAAAGGAAAAGTTTAGGGAACCAGAAAAATTAAGAGGAAATTACAATAAATTTTTTTTTATTTTATAAATTTAAACTCTAATATTTTGATTTATTTTTTATCTAAATCATTCACCTATCTTCGTTAACGAAAACTGTCAAAAACAGTATATTTTAATCATTAAAATCAATTAAAATAAATTTTTAAGATATATTTTACTCACTTTTATTGAGTTTAATGGCTAAAATATTTTTTTCCAAACAAATTTACTTAACGAAAATAATCAAATTGTTTAATTGAAAATAAAAAAAATTAAGATTTAAATTGACAAAATTAAAGATTAAAAAATTATTATATTACAATGCTCAAACCCTAGAATTTTATTTGAAATTTTCTTAAAATTTAATTTATTTAACACATTTTTAGTGTTTTTATTTAAAGGATAAATTACAAATATATTCTTTGAGATTTATCAAAAATACAAATTGTCCCCTCACGTTTTGAATATTACAAATACTTTTTGTTAAAAAAAATTATGCAACTGGCCTAAATAAAATAAATAAATAAAATTATCCAATACTCTCTAATGTCGAAATGGAATGACCATACTAGTCTCATTTTCATCCGCTAGTGATATTCTCCAACCCTCTTCAATGAACCAAATGCTTGTAAAGAATAATGACAATGGTTCTGATTGAGAGTAGGAAAAGGTGGTGTGATGGTTGGCAAAATGGTATTATTAATTGAGAGAAAATGAGAAATGAAAAATATGAGAGAGCAGAAAGAAAAAAGAAAATAAAGTGTTTAACTTTATAAAAGTTAAGGTATTTCTATAATAATAACTAGCATATCACCCGTGTTATGTACTGAATAATTATAGATATTTATATTTATTTTAGATTTTTTTTAATATATAAATTATGTTTTTAAGATTTTTTATAAAATAATTTAATGATATTATCACTAATCATAGTGTATGGGAGAAGTTGAAAAGAGTACTGCAGTAACTATACACGAATTGTATCTACAATTATTCATATGAGGAGATTTTAAATGTTGATCAGGGGATTGTATCAATAAATACAGGCATGTAGAAAGACATGTGAATTAAAAAAAGTTAATAAATTATGATCAAGGAATTTTGACCAAATCAATAAATGCTGAGTTTTTTTTTTTAATAAAAAATTTAGAAAAGGATATTGAAGCTCCCACAGGCCTTGGGATTAAAAACCCCTTTTTGCTTAATATATAGTATAGATAGATACTAGTGGTAGCACCTGGCTGGTATATCAATTTAGTTCTTGATAATAAAAATTGATTTCAATTGTTTGGTATTGTTTTTTATTTTTTTGATATTTTTTTGTTTTAATATTTTCAAAAATTAA